CTTGTTGCTGATAGAGGCAGGCTGTTTTGGTTAACAGTGGTGAGTGAGTTGTGGAGAGAGCGCTGTAGGCAGTTGTATGGTAAAGAAGTCCTGACGGATGTGCAGTTGCTGAAGAAGTTGCAGCAGATGTTGATTCTGCTGCGGAATGGTTTCCCTCAAGTTAGTCTGGCTGTTAGTGAGGCTGAGATTCTTAGTATAGTGTAAATTTGTTTGTATTCTTGTATTCAGGTAGTTTAGTTTAGCAGATTGGGTTAGATAGTTTGTGGGGTTGTAATGCTCTCTGTATCTGAGTAACTGATTTTTGGTTCCAGTTAGAATGGTAGAAATTACCATTCTTTCTTGATGAATAAACAACTTATTCATAAAAAAAAACCTCTCCGAATTGTCACTGCCACGAATTTGGTCCTTGCCGGCTGCTAAAACCACAGATTGACTGTGGTGGGAACCAAGGTCATAACACTATGAGCAATGTCATTCTGCAAAGAATTCACTATCCAACAAAGAACCAAGGTATTACACCCATCCCACAAATAGAACGAAGGATGCGTACTAGCAGGAGCAACGATAGACCCATCAATGAAGCCCAATTTGTGCTTCGTTTTGAGAGCCATCCGCATCGAGCGACTCCACATAGAATAGTTCTCACCATCCAAAACCTCAGAAACAATCGAAGTAGAAAGATTCTCATTCGGATTGAGGTAATAGGGGTTTCCAAATGGGATCGCACCTTGACCACCCTGTTTAGAAGACTCGGCATCAGTTCCAAAACGTAGCCCAGAACCAGTAAGAGCTCCGATACCATGAAGAAAATATCGAGCTGAGCAAAGGTGGATCGAAAACCTGCAAAGCAAACAGCTGCAGGGTCTCTGGTTATTTATATCAGAATCCATAATTACTGTTTAACAACGGTAACAAGAGTTTACTTTGACACGTGCAAACTCCTTAGTAGCAGAAAATAAACTAACTGCACTAACAAAATGGAAATACAAACATAGTCAAGTAAAACACAACGTTCAGGCGAATGCTCAAAACGCTCCCCATAAAGCGAATCGTATTCACGTTCGAAACATTTCTGGTGCAGTCTTCTCGCATAAGAACATCTCATCTGCTGCTGCACTTCAACTCTGCAGTGGCTGCTTCGTCTCCATGAGCATAAAGAGAAGATGAGGATTCTGATCATGTACTTTGACACCAATGTTCATAAGGCTTATTTTCCAAGTCGAGGTTTGGGCCAAGGTCAAACAATTGGGCTAAATAATTGTGAAACTTACATATTCGCTTATGTGGTATTGATTTAACTGCTAATCAAATTAGGGGTGCCAGTTCGGTTACCAGTTACCGGTTAACCGACCGGTTAAACCGATAATCGGCCGGTTATCCACTAGCCGGTAACCGAAGTAACCGAACTTCGGTCGGTTATCGGAAGCTAGGCAAAATGGTTTTTGGTCTTAAAAGTGGTTCGGTTAACCGATAACCGAGGTGACCGAGAAATCGAAGCCTATTTCGGTCGGTTTTCGGTAAGGGGGTGTTTATTTCGGTTAACCGATAACCGGCCAATCGGTTATCGGTTATATCCGAAATAACCGAACTACCACCCCTAAATCAAATCGATATTTGTCACAAGTTGAGTTCCCAAGTTGTAACTGATCTTTAATTCCTAACTTCTATATAGCATCGCAACCTTAAAATGGTAACAGATCAAGCAGGGCTTGGAGCTCAGATGTAGTTGCTTGATATTTATATGATGTTACAAACAAGGAAGACAACTGACAGTAAATTTAATGCTGTTTGATTTGGAGGAGATGGTGCATCTCTACGACTCTTACTGGACAAAAATGGCCTTCGTACCTATTTTAGTTTGTTGGACGGTGTCGAGTTACCTTTCAAATATACAGCACAAACTTTATTGGTTGAGTGGCGTGTGGTTGTGTTAAGTACTTATTTTACTTGTATATGGAGGCAATATTAATAGGGTTACCGTGATTTGGATGGCCTTTTCCATGGATCTGAGCTTCCAGTGTCAGCAAGTTCAATGCCAAGGGAAACATCTTAATGAGTGCTCATAAACAGTAATATTAATCTTACGTGATTAAAAACTAAAACGAGTATAATGGCCGGCTAATCTGCTTGTGCAACTCATTTAGCAAATTAAGTGACCACTTAATCAAAGGGCTGATAGCTATAACTGTAATGCTGGGAAGAAAACTATATCGATCTTGTCCAATATTTGGAACAACCAAATTCACACGCTCTCTACTTTCTTCCCAAATATGACTAGCTATATAATGGCCGCCCACCAACTAGGCTGTGAAAACAAGATATGTCGTGTAAAGAAATCGAGGAAAGATAGTTACTCTAAGGTAAACCCCAAAGTAAAATATTGTTGAAGTATATGGGAGGAGAAGAAATTAAGGAATTATGTGCACTAACAATCTGTTAGAAGAGGTGCAAATGTGAGAGGTAAATACATGGGTCGTTTGGATGTGGAAATGTAATGCAGTAATTGGATCCAATTACCACATAATGCAGTAATTGGGTTAAAAATCCACGTTTGGGAGAGCGAAAAGAGTATGGAAATTGGACCATGGAAATTGGCTTCAATTACCACATTCATGGTAATTGAGAATACTACACCTCCCCCTAGTAATTTGACATTACCACGTTTTTTTACTTCTTTTTTCAAATTCGACACTATCAATTCCCACAAAACTAAACCCTATCCAAACATGAATTTTTTTCAATTTCCACAAGTCAATTCCTTGGTTTTGTAAAACATGGAAATTCAGACAAATTCCAACGTTTTCAAATTTCCACATCCAAACGACCCCAGTTTTCAACACATTTGTATTTGTTTGGATAATTTGTAACAGTAATGGTGGAAAATGGGAGTACAAAGTTACTATTTTGGTTTACCTCCAAATATGGGTGCAAGGGAAGGAAGGAAGATAGGGGAAATTATGGTTTTTTAAATTTTAATTGTTTTATAATTATATAATAATTAACATTGTCAATTTCTTTTCTTATAGTTATTACTACTGTAGACATTGTTCGAGGTTGACCGTTTGACTTCAGGGGCAAATTTATCAATGCTCGTCTACTCTAGTCAATAGAGATCTCTTTTTTTTTTTTTTATCCAAGATAAGCCCCCAGGGCATGGCCGAACATAATATATAAAAAACAGATAAAAATAAAGAACGGTAGCCCGTATGCAACCGGACTCCCGATAAAAGAGCCTTTTTTGCCACGAGGTGGGCAGCTCTATGAAAGCTCCGAGGAGCAAAGACGCGAAACTGACACAGGGAGTCGAGAAGAGAGAAAGAACTTCCCTTAAAATATCTCCGACTTTAGAATGGGAAGACTTCCTCGAAGTAGCATCCTAATGACCGGTTGAGAATATCCTCGAGAGGTAACAACCAAACATTATGAGTAAGACACTTTCTCATAGTATTAACATAATAAATTTTACCAAAAGCAAATGAGACAGTTCCATCACCTGAAAATCTGGTAAAGTCAGTTTGCACATCCGTGAAGATTCTTTGTGACCCAATCAAACCGGATCAATATACTTTTGCTAGGGCAGGTTATATCTAACCCCAAAAAGGCATCCACATCGATGCTAAAGATCTCTATCTCAAGAGATTAAAGAATGCCCTTTAGGCATTAGCGACATAACCGAATGTATAACATCAATTGAATAATTCATAAAAAGAAGGAAATTAGCTCTATATTTGAAGAAGGATCCGAATTATCCAATAAACAACATTCTTAAAAGTGAATTACCAAAGATAATGAAGTAAAATTTCTATCTAGCAAAAATTAATATAGATCTCTTGGTTGACTAGAATTTGCATTGAAAATTAGAGATAATAAGTGTTTGTGGAACGTATTTGACTAAGTTTGACCATATTCAATTTAAAGTTAAATTAGACATGCTATCAAAAAATTTAAATTAGACACGAGAATCTTGTAGGATAACCAGTTACGAGTTGAGTTTCGAACTTCAAGGTCGCTCGACCAATGAATTTTACATTTGTTATAATTAACTATACATCGAGTTTCGAGGTCGCTCAAACCGAAACGTTCTCTTCTGCAATTTACCCATCAACGTACACCCTCCTTTTTGCCAAACATCGTGTAAAGAACCCTAATTATTTGAACAAGCTAAGTAAAAAAGTTTGTATTTCACAATTTGGCATAGTTCTATTGTTATGATTACAATAATAGAGAAACTATTCATTGCATGATCAAATGTTTTGACTCACACGTCAATCACGTATAAACAGTGGTTGAAAGTGATTGTTTAATTTTATTGGTTATAGGAAATTACGTGTAAAAAATTTATCGATAAATGGATGTAATTGCGTGAAAAGGGTCAATTATATATATGTGTGAATGTCATCCATTTCCTTTTGTGATTGTAAGTTGTGACAAGAACCCGTCACAACCCTAAAATTTGAACAAAGACATAAAAAATTCCTACAATACTTTGAAGTTATTGTAACTTGATATTTTTAATCTGCAATAACAGGTTTCACAAGTCGCATTACGTAAAATTCAATAAGCATTACGTAATGGTTACGTAATGTCTATTTATCTTATGTAATAGTTGAAAAATATCATTATAAAAACTTTACTACGTAATAGATACTTATTTTACGTAATGAATATTAACCATTCTCCATCGATATTCTCCTACTCTCAAAAATGTCTCACATCGTTAGATGATAACACATTACCACAAATTACCAGTTTTCTGAATTTCGTGTGTAGTGTAACTGCAACGACATATTAACAAAAATCCGCTCTATCTAATCTGATATATCACTGATGGAAAAGATTTGACTTCCTCAGGAAGCGGTACACCAAACCATGCAAATCCATTTATTTTAGCTCGTACAGTACAACCCTCTTCCCAGAACTTCGTCTATACCCAACAAATCTGTGTCAAAAACCAGAAAGTAACAAAGAAGAAACAAACAAAGAAACACGAAACAATCCTGTCAATGCGAATGAGGGAACGGCGGAATGCTCTGTTGGTCCCTGAAGAAATTCTCCGGATCGAATTCAGCCTTAATCTTGGCCAGCCTCTCAAAATGGCCCTTGAAGTACTTCTCCCCGTACACCTTCGCCTTGCTCCACTCCGGCTTCTCAACCGAGTTCACCCCGTTCTCCAGATCCCTGTAGTTTAGGTACGCCTCCCTCGGCTCCTTCGTCACGTACGGCGTCACCGCCTCGTGCAGCGCGTCCAGCGCACCGACGTGCCTCGCCTCCGCTTCCTCGCCGTCCTCCACCCACCACACATAGTACTGCACCTTGAACAAGTAGCCCGCCCTGTGTGCGTACGCCGCCTCGTCCGTGTCGATCTCCGCCATCCTCCCGCCGTACGGGTTCCACTGCGTGAAGCACGGCCCGACCTTCAGCAGGGCGTCCCAGATCCCGGGGAGCGCCTCCCTCGGGATGATCTCAGTGACGTAGTCAGACTTGCTCTTGAAATACGATGGCTCCGATTTTCTGTTGAGTAGCACCTCCAGTGGTTTGTTGACAGGGATCATCGCCCAAAACAAGACGGTCTCGACCCAGCTCATTTCCTTCCCGTCCACTTCCCTGAACCCTAGCTCAGGGAAGCTCCGAGACAGGTAACGGACCAGATCCTTGGTCCGTCCCAGGTACTCTCCAACAAAAGATATCATGACTTTGGTTTTGTTTTCAGGGGTTGTCACCACTTGGGGCATCGCCCTGATGAAAATGTCTTTGCTAAGATTCGTCGACACCTGCTGCCACCTGTAACAGTGTCGAGGTCAGAAATGAAACGAAGGGCTAGAAAATTTCTCGTTAGAGGGGTAGAACCTTACTAACTAGTTTTGTTTTAAATCTTTTTTACAAAATTTATACTAAAAAATTTATTTACGTATGAGAGTTAAGGAGGACACTCAGGACTTTTTCTACTGACCTGTAGAATATGTCCGACGCGCCCTGGTCGAGCCACCGGTCCACCTGGAATGCGGTGACGACCTCGGGGACGCGGACCAGCTTGACCTTCCACGACAGGATGACACCGAAACTGGCCCCGCCCCCGCCGCGTATGGCCCAGAACAGATCGCCCATCGTCGATCTGTTCAGGATCTCGCCACGCGCGTTCACGACGCGCGCGTCGATGACGTTGTCCACCGAGAGGCCGTATTTCCTCAGCAGGTTGCCGTACCCTCCTCCGGCGAAGTGGCCGCCCACGCCGATGGAAGGGCAGACGCCGGCGGGGAAGGCGAGGGTGTTGGTCTTGTTGGCGATGGCGTAGTAGAGCTCGCCAAGCGTGGCTCCGGCTTCGACCCACGCGGTCTCGGTTTCGACGTCGAGTTCGATTCTGCGGAGGTTGTTTAGGTCGAGGAGGATGAAAGGGGACGGGGAGCGGTAGGAGAGGCCCTCGTAGTCGTGGCCGCCGCTGCGGGTTCTGATCTGGAGGTTGTTCGCTTTGGCGCAGAGGACGGTGGCTTGGACGTGGGATTCGTGGGTCGGGGTGACGATGGCTAAGGGTTTTGCGGTGGCGGGTCCGATGAACCGTTTGTTGTGGATGTAGGCGTTTAAGACTGGGAGGAAGGAGGAGTTGGTTGGGAGGTAGAGAACGGCGTCGGAGCGGTTGTGGTTCTGCAGGCAATGGCGGAAGGCGGAGATTGAGGTGGACTGATGAGCAAGACCGAGCGATGGTGGAGCGGAGGTTGAGAGCAAGAGTAGGAGGCGAATGATGAGAAGAAGATTTGACATTGTTAATTGTTCAGAGGTTCGATGAAAATTGGTAGGGGTGAGATGAGATTTGTATTATATAGGAGTGAAACCGCTGTGGAAGACTTATTGTTTACAGGAATGAACGTTGAAAGAGGATGGTGGAGAGGGAATAGAGTATTAAAATGTTGTTTTAACAATTTATTGTTGTGTCGAGGGTTTTCTTCTTTTTTGCTTGGATGCACAATTATTATGGCAGAAGTTATTGTGGTAGATAATGCATATCGGTTACTTTTACGATATGGTTTGTTTCATTTTGGGTAACTCCAGGCCTAGGTTGGCAAAGGTTTGAGTGAGAAATTCATCAATTTAATTGTGGTTAATTAGATGATTTTTTTTAACATAAAGGTTTTCTCAATCAAGCTAAACACGGACATAATGTAAGAGAATTATAAATATCGTCCTAAATACACACCATCCTAACCATTAAGATGTACTATTTTTGCTTAATGAATTTAAAGTTGCCTTCTCTCAGTATCCAAAGCTACAGAACCATTCCTCTGAAGATATAGAATGGACGCACCATTTTCTGATGTTTCTAGTATTTGAAACCTTGCCAATTTATTGGTCGAAGGTACCAAATTTCTTGTAACAATGTGTTTACAAATCCTTTACCGCCTAAGGATTGCTACACATATGTAAATAATGATTTCATGCCGAGGTAAGGAGAATTGACATGATTGAAACACTAGATGAATATTTAAAAGTAATAAGTTATTGAAAGAAATAAATATGATTGAACCTAAGAAGAGTATGCAAAGGTAATTGAAATCAATAACTTGAAAGAACAAGACGTTACTTTGGATTGCAATGGGTTTACGTACAAATCCTTTGCCACCTAAGGATTTGCTACACATATGTAAAGGGTTAATTGCATGGTTGGTCACTGAGATTGCAAAAAACGTTCATGTTTGGTCACTGTAAATATTTAAATCCAATCTTGGTCACTCAAATTAGTTAAATGGTTCAAATTTGGTCACTCTCCGTCCAACTCCGTTAAATTTGTCTGATGTGGCAGTCAACCCTCAAAATTGACCGTTAACTCTGTGACGTGGCAATTAAAAAATAATAAATAAAATAAATTTTAATCTTCTACCATTTCCAACTCATTTTCAGATTAAAATAAAATAAATAAAACAAAAAAATATTATAATTACAAATAAAGGGGCGCTTCCTCCTCTCCGTCTTCAACAATTCCATCAACTCCTCCCTCCCGGCGCCGCCATCTCCGCCTGCCGCGCTCAAGCAAGTACATCCCGGGGAGTCCCCGTTCTCCGACAACTTGGCCCTCTTGGTGCGGCGGTAGTCGGCGTAATCATCGACTAGAATGTCGAGAACTCGCTCCGCTGGAAAGCCTCTGCTTTGCATCTTGTAGGAACTAGACAAAGAAAAGGATAGCTGGATAAGGAATTTCAACGGAAATTTTCCCATAAAGGAAAACCGTTATTCACGTTTACAAAGTCCAGGGACGTAATTTTACTTTCCTCTTCCTGCCGGTGGTGACCAACTACTCAAGTCATCACTCATCAGTCGTCGCGTCGTCCGACAGCCGAAAGAGGGGAAGAAGATGTCAACCACAACGCGGCTGATCTCCGGCGCTCTCATCTGGATCATTGTTCTCTTTGGAACCCTAGCTTTCATCCAGGTACGCCACCCGGCTATCTTCCCTCCTCTCCATTTCTTCAATTAGCGAGAGAAGTAGACGAATTGGTTAGGTCGAGAATGGAAATCGAACTTCAAATTGAGCGAAACCAGAGCTCAATTCGTCTTCGTATTGACTATGTCTGAATCCGATTGGTCTTTTCTCCCCGAACTGTCTGAATCCAATTTGCTTGAGCGCGGCAGGCGGAGATGGCGGCTTCGGGAGGGAGGAGTTGATGGAGTTGTTGAAGAGGGAGAGGGAGGAAGCGCCCTTTATTTGTAATTATAATATTTTTTTGTTTTATTTATTTTACTTTAATGTGAAAATGAGTTGGAAATGGTAGAAGATTAAAATTTATTTTATTTATTATTTTTTAATTGCCACGTCACTGAGTTAACGGTCAACTTTGAGGGTTGACTGCCACATCAGACAAATTTAACGGAGTTGGACGGAGAGTGACCAAACTTGAACCATTTAACTAATTTGAGTGACCAAGATTGGATTTAAATATTCACAGTGACCAAACATGAACGTTTTTTGTAATCTCAGTGACCAACCATGCAATTAACCCCATATGTAAATCATGATTTTTTGCCGAGTTAAGGAGATTTGACATGATTGAAACTCTAGAAGAGTATTTAAAAGTAATAAGGCATTGAAATGAATAAATATGATTGGACTCAAGAAGAGTATTCAAAGGTAATTGAAATCAATAACTTGAAAGAACAAAATTTTACTATGAATTGCAAATAAAATATTTGCAAAATAAAAACATGTGCATCAAATATATAAATATATTAAAATAATAATAATAGATAAAGTATCCATAATCATATTGATGATCAAGATCAATGTGTGAATATTGATATATCAATAATATGAATTATGAATTATTTAGCTTATCTTTCAATATTTGTTCAGACGATTATATATAAAGGTGATGTTACATGTATCTCCTAAAATGGTACATGTGAGAATTATGAAGCCAATAAAGTTTGTTTAAGGATTATCCAGTAGATATGCCTATCACACTATATCCCATAATCTCATGTGAATGGTTATTGGAGTTCGGTGAATCCATAATATTGAATATTGATAGATCTTTACATAAGGGGGAGACATTACACACTGCATCATTTTTTTTCTTAAACAAGGTTTTTTATACTGGGATTTTCTGATAAGTTTTTCAACTAGTAGTATCAAAAAGCGTAAGACCGAAATCATGAATTTTTTTCTTCATTAGATTTTTATTCCATTGGACTTTTCCAAACAAGATTTTAATGAGATAAGTTCTTAATCAATGGACATCCAATGAGGAGTATGGAGAATTAAAATATATTTGAGATATTTTGGAGAAAGAAGAAGAATCTGGAAAATGAAAATGAGGAAAAAATAGCTAGATATTTGTAATGGAAGGTTCTAGGAAGAAGGAGGACTGATGCAGAAAAAACAGAATGGGGAAAGAGGAAGAAATATAAAAAAAAAAAGGGAGGGATATTTTGTGGTTATGGCGCTTTAGAACTCTTGTAAATTGGAGTCGAGTTTGCTGTATGAGAATGTGTGGAGTTGGAATGGAAGAACAAAAGAGAGAGTGAGAGTGACGTGAGTGAGGAAGTGTGGTGGTGAGGTGAATTGTGACAGTTTATAGAGTGAGGTGAGGTTTATATTTGTAAGTGTGAGCTCTTATGTTATATTATTGCGAGTTAGTACTTTGAATTTGTAAAAGTTGTGTTTTGTCCATCAAATTTAACAAGTGTTATTTATAGCATACTTAGATTCAAAACTCAATAGAGAATTATGAGTTTAAACTAATGGATGTATATTCATTCTCCCAACTACCATCTTCCCAACTCTCTATTGATTCGGTCATCATGTGATGCTCTATGGCTCTTAAACTTGCAAAGGCCTCATCGAACCCCATGAGAAATTCATAGTACATCCCTTTCTCTCGGATTTCCGCCAATCGCTTTTACACCCCGCACGTACAACCTTCACACATACATACTGGCAAAAGATTGATGGACGGAAGAGCTATCGAATGCCTGCTGTGAGTTAGGGGAAACCCCTTAATAGGACAAATTAAAGAAGCTAATAAGTCTCCCTTGGTTTGAAAGGTTGTTCCTGTGAACCAGCACCTACGACGATGTTTGGAACATAGTTAGTAAATACTTCGTTCAATACACGTATATAGGTTTGGACATATTTTATCTATCTAAAACTTTCATATCCTTATTATTGTCAAGTCTTTTCATTTTTATTCGTTCATTTGATGGCTCCCGTACTAGACATGTACAAAATCCGTATAACACGTTTAATATTCGTATTTTAATGAGCTAAAGTGCTACATAATAATATTTATATATTAATTTATTTTTAAAATAATTTAGTTTGATATATTATATAACTATTGATGTATTATCCAACATATCGTCAATTTAGAGACAAAATAAAATACCAATACAATTTTTACAAGTAACTTACCGATACTGTATTTTACTAACTATGGTTTGAAATGCATAGGCATCCTTCCTTGGCTATAAAAGGAAGCCATATGGAAGAAGAATACCCACAAACTTCTTTCTGGCTCCCATATGTAATTCTGTCTCTCTACCTTTCGGTGTAATAAGAATATGAGAATATGTAATTATGTCTCTCTACTTCATACTAGATTTGGACCCGCCCGTTGATCGAATAAATTATATCAACACTATTAATAAAAACAATGATTGTTTGAAGTAAGACATATTTTATTTGATACCACAAAAAATTCCAAATTATTTTATCTCTAAAAAATATTTAAAAAATACTATACTCATAGAATGTTTCGACATGCTAACATATTAATTGAAATAAATTCCCTAACAAAATAAAAAAATTCAAGCAAGATAATCAACTCCTAAAATACTGAATCAGACCACACTATTTGCACCTTGTTGTTAAATGTTATTGCAAATTTTATTTTTGATTTCTTTATGATCACTCCGCGATAAAAGCACTCTCATATCCATAAATGACAAAACTTTTGTCTTTGTTAATAAAACTTACAATAGGTTCTTCCTTTTTTTCTACATTTCATTAGAAGCAATCTTTAATGGTAAAATATTTGAAAATATGAAACATAATTTTCATGCAGCAGGATTTACCTCATTCGGGCCATGATCTTTTTTGAGATATGGTCTTTTAAGCCTAACACTCATAAGCGACCCAACAACCAACAAAATTTTTGATGACCTATAAATTGATAACTTAATAAATTTCCCGTAGTAGTATTGGAAACTTCTCTAATATATGTGTTTATTCTTTCTTATGTAAGGAACACATTTTCGTCTAGGTTGACAAA